CAAGGTTAGGTTAGGATATCCGATTTGTTTATTCCATGCCAATCGACAGCTCTGTTGCGTATATCGATACCACGAGAGTTTATCGTGATCGGAGAACAGTTAGGAGAGTACGGATGAAACGGGAGAGCAGACTCGCCTTGTTCTCGGAGGAGACATAAAAGGAGAACGGTTCTAAGCGTCAGAAGCACCTGTTAGTCGGGGACCAGACTTGGAAGGGACCACCGTGTCTCGGGGAAATCGACGGAACGGGGCAGGCTGTCGGCGAGTCATCGATGCTGAATGATCGTAATTAGCGGTTGTCGCCGGAACGCGTTGGCGTGTTGCTGGTAATGAGGTTAGGATGGTAATCTGGAGGATGGACTCGAGATAAGATTAATGTCAAGTACGGAATTGTGATTTAAAGGGGATAAACGTAAATACAAGATAGTCGGTATTGATGCTATTCCCAATTTTTATTGGTTTTCTTTCTTCTATTTTTATTTCTTTTTCTTGTGGAATTTTTTAGAATTGAGATGTTGATTGTCTTTTAATAGATAGGTATCAATATTAATATTGTAATTTTGTTTCATGGGACACGAAAAATTTCCTTCGTTATTTATTCAACATAATTTGCAACAATATGCTTTTTCATTTTTCTTCACTTTCTTTCTTAGCATAATCTTCCCAAGATTATAAAAATAAATAAAATATTTTCTTTTCATTTTTAATTTTCTTTGTTACCATTAATTTCATACCTCACTGTAATAATTTTTTGGTCATTTTTCTAGTGAGTTAATCCCGTATAAATAAATGAATAAACAAATAAATAAATAAAATTTCTGTGGAATTTCTAATAGGTATTTATTTTATTTTTATTTCTTTTTCTTGTGGAATTTTCTGGAATTGATATGTTGATTGTCTTTTAATAGGCAGGCATCAATATTAACACTGTAATTCTGTTTCATGGGACACGAGAAATTTTCTTCGTTATTTATTCAACATAATTTGCAACAATATGCTTCTTCATTTTTCCTTTCTTTTCTTTCCTGGCTTTCATCGTTAATTTAATTAATCCTAAAGGAGGTGTAATACACCTTCGCATACAATCCAGGACGCCTCTTCAAAAATACAAAAATTCCACAGCTGCCTTTGCAACACCCGTGTCGCGTTACTTAAGCCTTGTAATTAATTCAAAGGCGCTTTTAAATCCTGCGCCATGCTGCGGACCTAACCGTGCAGACGTTGTCATTTCGCGTGGTTTGCAAATTTAATGCAACCCATTCAAAACGCAATTGTGTCGTGATTACAGTGATCAGTCCCAACGTCTGAACAGTAACGTCGCAAACTTCGTAGACTGTCGTAGGAAAGTCGATATTTCATTATCGAATCTCATCTGGAGATTGGCAGAAACTACTCAGCTACTTAGTCTCTGGGACGAGGGCTTAAAAGGAGATCCCTGGTACCAAACTCGTGGGAGTACCTGCCATTTATGCGTCAATAAAGTAGTGAAATAATCGTGTCGAATTACCTATGATCATTTTCTTCCTCCTTTTCCATATTTTTTTTTTAATATTTTTAAGAAATTGTCTGTTAGGAAATGGTTCTGAGTTTATCAGAAAATTGTGGTACAAAATGAAGCATTTGTTTTTAGGAAGCAAGAAATTTATCGGCAGATCAAGATTATAAATCGAGATATTCGTATTTAAGACAATCACCATATAATAAATATCCTACGACCATTTTCCTCGGTGGCTTCAAGAAATTTAACAATGACGAGATTGCTCGTACACAACAACCAAAAGAAAATATTTATTTTCATAACTAAATATTGTATATATAATATGATATAATATAGTTTAGTATATATAATATATATCACAATATATTACAATATACATCACAATATATTACAATACATTATCACAATATATCACAATATATATATTAATATAAATATAATATATAAATATAAATAAAATGTAATAATACAATGCATAATTAAAATATAA